TGCAGTTGCAACGAGAGCACCGGCCAGGCTGGCAGCAGCAAGCCGGTGTGCAGGAGTGCGTCCCCGTGTCCTCCTCGGAGTAGGAAAGGCACGGGCTACTGGTGAGCAGCCCCGTGTCGTGCACGCAGTGCAGAAGGTGGGAGCTCGTGGTGAGTGGCCCCGCGCTGGGGCGACGGTGCGGTGTCCCCTCCCCGGCGGCGATATGGAGGGCGGCTGTCCGTGCCGGTGCTGCTTGGCCGAGAGAGGGAGGGAGGGTTTGGGAGCGGGGCTGAGCCGGGGAGGGGCGGACACGCCGCTGCCCCACGGCTACGTGCCCAAGGGGGTAGGCAGGGGTGCATGTGGGGCCGGGTGGCCTCGGTCCTGCCCCACATCTGGCCGTGGGTCGGTGCTCCCACATCTGGCCGTGGGTTGGTGCTCACCCTCCTGCCGGATCTATTTCCGTGCAAGGAAGCTGTTTTTTGAGGGGGAGGCTTTTAGGGATGAAGCTGCCTCTGAAGCAAAGCATGAGAGGGACCTGGAGGCTGCAGCAGTTTCTCTGTGTCAGGGACTGGGAGTTGGAGCCCCTTTTCCCTCCTGCCCGGAGCTGGACAGGGAGCAAGCTTTGCTCCCGAAAGAGGAAACTTCCAGAACTTCTTCCTTTCTTCCCATGGGATGCAGACATGGCTGCATCCAGGCTGTGGGTTGCGTGGCTGCCCGCCTCCCCACTGCTGCTCTTGCCCAGCTCGTCTTGCACAGGGGCTTTTGGGTGTTTTGGCCTTAAATCTGTGTTGCACAGTGTGTAAGTGAGGGCTTAGATGGTTCTTGCTCTGCCTGGAAAATGCTGTGAAGATTTATGGTGAAAAACGCGACGGATGGCCCGGCTAGAAGCGAGTGCCAAGCTGACTCGCCCGAACTCTCCTTTCCTTGCGTCTTAAATCCATGGGTGATTTCCTGAGATGCAATTCCTGTGAACATCTAGGGAAAATACAAAGGCTAGGCTGCTCCAGGAGGGTGCAGATTACTCCTAACATGTTTTCCAGCCTTGCCCCTTGACTGAAGGGTGGGAAATATTTGGGTGAAGCCAAAGTCTGCTCCGTAACACCTCGGGGTTACAGCCAGTGCTGTAGTGCTGCAGTAGTAATCCAGTAGACACAGAATACTTATTGTTGTGGCAGCCAGTGATATGTGTGTGCTGGATAACTGGGCATGAGGCTGGAGCCAGCCAAGGTGAGGTCAGGGGCTGGTGTTGCTGCCTCTGCTTTGGGTTGGTCGCCTGTCTCCAGTTTGGCATCTTTGAATTCAGTTATTATTTATGTTCTTCTAGAGATCGAGTCTCCTTTGTGAGAACCGTGTGTGAATCATAGAATCATGGAATGGTTTGGGTTGGAAGGGACCTCAAAGATCATCTAGTTCCAACCCCCCTGCCATGGGCAGAGAAATCCTCCACTACACCAGGTTGCCCAAAGCCTCATCCAGCCTGGCCTTCAACACTTCCAGGGATGGGGCATCCACAACTTCTCTGGGCAACCTGTTCCAGTACCTCACCACCCTCAATGTAAAGAATTTCTTTCTTATATCTAATCTAAATCTCCCCTCTTTCAGTTTAAATCCATTGCCCCGTGTCCTATCACTACACACCCTTGTAAAAAGTCCCTCTCCAGCTTTCCTGTAGGCCCCCTTTAGGTACTGGAAAGCTGCTATAAGAATGCACGTAGCTGTTTCACTGAGAAGGTGTTGAAGATGGAGATGGAACCAGCTTGGCATGGATTGGGTGGCCCCGTTGCCGTGGTTGTGTGTGGGTGGCCCTGTTACCTGCGCAGTATCTCCCCGTATTGGAGCAAGAGAAGCTCAGCAGCAGAGACACGAGCAGACTTCCGCTAGTGGCAGGCTCTGAACTCTCACCTTCCTTGAGGCCCAGGTAAAATCCTCCTGCTCTGCCTGCCCAGGCTGTGGCAGCTGGTTGAGAAGAAGGGGACGCTGGGCAGCCCAACTCCCAAGTCCTATCAGTTGCCTTCAGGGTTCTCCTGTGGCAGGTACAGCTGTGTTGGTGGGAGCAGGGTCACACCAACGGTTCCCTGGCCGTGAATTACCCGTCGTAAGGTAGCGTTGGCCACCGGGCAGGAAGGGAGGGGCTTTTGTTGGCAGAGGGCTAACAGCAGGGATGCAGCAGTTGTGTGACACTCAGCAGGATTTAACTTAAATACCTGGTCTAAGAGCAAGTGTGAGGAGGTGGAAGAGTTTTTAATGGGTTCTGAAATTGCTGTGCATCTTGCGGTGATGGTAGAGACTTCTGAGTAGAGCTCAGCTGTGGATGCTGGAGTAAAAGGGAGCCTTGGGGAGGAGGCTGAAGCTTGGATGCTCTTTGGTGATCTTCAGCTTGGCACCCTGCTCTGATACATCTTGGTTTCCTGAGACAAGTCAGGAATTTCTACCCCAGCCCTGGGCCATGTTTCTTCATTTCTTGTGTAGGTTGGCTTAGTTGTTGTGTCCTGGCACGGCTGGTTCCTCTGCCCAGGCTCGGAGCATTTGCGCTCTGCACCTAAAACTGAGGTGCCAGAGCTGCCTGTGGCCTGAGCCTGGAGCAGAAGAGGAATCGCAATCCATCCTTACGTGTCTGGGGTGGGCAGAGGGCTGTTTGAGGTGGGGAAGATGGAGATGTCCCTCCACCAGCCAGGGCTGGTGGGCTGTGTCGTGGCTGCTGGTTTGTCCTGCCTCT